ATTGGCAGCTGACTGACTAGCAGATACTGCCGCAGACACTCGGTGGTTTCACTGATTCTCCTTGGCCTTACACTGCTCATCTCTAATCGTGTTGGGCTCGCATAGCCACCCTCTGTGAGTACCGCAGCATAGTTCACAGGTGGTGCATCACTCCATTACCCAACCTGGCTGACCAAATGTAATCGAAATGCTTCACAACTTCCTTAGTTTATTACACGTCGCTGTTCCCGAGACCATCCTTCTGTCTATTGTGATCGTGACCTTCTAAATTTCGCCGAGAAACGCGCATTGCTCGAGGAAAGCATCATGTTGGATCTGCGCTCAGTAGGATGCCCAGGCTAAACTTGTGCTCGCTAATTTGCTAAAAGCCAAGCTAAGCTGGAAGAAACCATGAGGGAAGAGACGGCGGTTGTACTTGTTGCCATTATATGCACGAGTGCGTGAGGCTCCTCTGCCTACTATGGTTCTTGATTCGGCTACCAGTGAGAGACGCCGTTGGTGTTCACGCCGAATGCAAAAGTCGCATTCACGAAGGGCAGAGGCTAACACACCAAGAAGTGCCAAGTGCGCGTCTTTTCAACCTGTCACATTTAAGCACACTTCCCAGACTTTAGCTAACACTCCATGGGTTTTAACACAGATATGCCGTTGCGACAGCACTATGCAGGGGCAGTTTGCTGACCTGACAAAGTTGAAGGCAGTGGCATTGATTATCATTCACCATTCAGACTGTGGAAAAGTCTCCTTGCAGATTGTATTGCAGTGAGCAAGCGTTTCACGCATAGGATGTTCACACGTATGGCCAAAATGGAACTAGAAACGTCAATGTGTCTACTCTCAAACGGGGATGATTCTACCCTTCGCAATATAGGCACTACCTCCACCAGCCACAGAGAGATAGCCGTTAAGGCTGTCTGAATCTTCCACGAGTGGGAAACAGAAGACCATTGAAAACGCATCGAATTAGGGCAACCGTCTTTAAAAAGAGCACCCGCACTCCTTCATTATATATCTTCTCGATTGAGCTGCGGATATACATGATGCTGTACTGAATCGACAGCATAAAACACTACCACTGGTATAAAAAGGCTAACAATTTCGTCTCAGCATCTTACTTTCTGACCTGCAGTTGAATACGATCCATGGGTTCTCCAAAATAGGCTCATGGCCGCAATAATTTGACCCCACACCCAGGTGTACTGTCACCCACTTAGGCCTCTTCCTCGTCTGCGCGCTGTGATTTCTTCACTCATTAACACATTACCTTGCTATATTCCAATCCACCAGATTGGACAACGACCACACAAGTAGTAAGCATCATTTGCAAAAATCTGCAGACCACTGTTTTGGCACTGTCCTGAGGCAATCAGAAGCGGTGCAGACCATCTGAACGCAGTTGGGAGGTGGAGTCCCCATCTGCAGAACCGCGACACCATAGACACCTTGGCCTTTTGGTAGCCATTTCCACACCACAGTTGCCATCGGTATCATGTCGATGTGGTTGCCAAAGTCATGTTACGCCTTCACGTTGATAGACATTAAGGTTACTGCAAATCTCTCCACAAACCTTAAGACCATTCGTTTTGGTCTTCAGTGTGGTAACTTTATAATCACCAATTCGATACTGGATGGTCTCCAAGTCAGCATCGTCTACATATACTGAAGGAAGGTCCAAATTCTTCGGAATTCGATTTGGTCTAGCTACTGCTGCTTGTCTGATGTCTCGTCTACATGAGAAGGAAGCAGTAACGACTGAGAGTGACATGATTATTTATAAAGTCCTACCCTCACTTAGGTGGAGTGGTTGGCCTGGTTTGCTCAGAGTGTCTTAGCAGGCCACTTCGCTTTTTGCAATGTACAAAGAAGCCTCATCTCCACTTCGATTCCACTTTCAATGCTTCTCTCAAATGCCCTGTCTTCTTCTTCCCTCGCGCTGCACAACATTGCATTTGGAAAACAAAGTGCCATCTTACGTTATATCTTGTCGCATGCATAGGAGGTTCGTTCCCAGCATCACCTCCAAGTTGCAGCATCTTCTAAGTGCTACCTTAACTTCCGCACAGACGCTAGGATCAAGTTCAGCTTCTTCGTGGGTGGCGTCAACACTTCATTTCGACTCAGGTTCTGATAACTGATGAAGCCCTACCTTTGATCCATCAAGCAACATAGTTGCTCAAGCTTGCGGGTCATTGTGGTACCGTGCGACGAGAACCAATGGCTCTTCAGCATCAACATGATTTCCGGTGGTGAAAACTCCTTATATTCAGGTAATTAATATCCTGTTTATAAGCTGCACTTTAACAGGAACTCCTACCCAAATGTCTGCACTGCTTCCAATTCCACGTTGGGTTTGTTCATGTCCGCATTCGCACTAGTGCATAATATACTTCGTCTAAAGTGTTGTACTTCGATAAGCTGGAAGTGGAGTTGAATGCATCCACCATTGAATGAGTAGGCACTAGCGTCGAATTTTCCTCCTCCCTTCAGCCAAGTGGTTGTGTGGGAGTTAACCGCACAGGAGTTGCATTCAATTCACCCATGGCATCATTCATCTACTTTAGTTGAGTCCCTTCTTGTGTAGCAAATCCTTTGCATTTCATCCTCGGTCAACCAGCTAGAATGTCTCTAGCCGTCTTAAAGCTTCAGTTTTTAACACATAAGAAAACACAATCAACTCCGCCTATCTCGAATTCGCCATTCAAGACGCGGATTAGGAATCATCCCAAATGCAGCCTCCTTTTCTGTCACATTTCCTCAAACCTCGACAAAATCTCGCAACTCTCTTGAATCGCCTAACTTGCGCTACTGTAGAGATTGTCTGACTTGTCAATTTCCTGTTTAAAATGATATTTTGAGACAGCCTTGTCTGTTCCCTAAAACCACCCAACTCAACTCAGTGACTCCACTTCTAGTACCCGTTTTAACCCATCCTTTTAGTGAATTTACAAGAAATTCTCCCACTCACTGATTGATATATTTGTTATGGATAATATAACAATAAATTGGAATACAACCCTTCAGCACTGGCGACAGAAATGGGACTCGATGTGGAATGAGCGATTTCCACCATTTCTCAAATCCATAGTCTGTTGCCACTACTCAACTCGTGCTACGCAGATCCACCCACCGTTTTCCTACCACACGAAAGGGCGAAAAGATGTCTTGGTAGCTGAGGGCAAATTTCTGTGCCCTTATTTCATCCAGCGCTAACATTTCACCTCAAATGTGCATCGGTTCACTGCAAACTCCATTCCTCTCAGTATTTGTGTGTTTGTACACTTTGCAGACATTTCCCCCTTCAGTCCACTCAGCCAATCACAAACACCGCAACCCTGTTACCTGCCAATCGAAACGCAGGTGACACCTGATTGGCCACACTGCGACATTCTTCTGCTCCTATTCGTTCTGCACAACTCCTGCTCTCACATACAGCAATTATATAGGCACGTGATCCAGGTGCCTGCAGCATTGTTGACATCTCCGCGTGCGTTTTGTTGAGTCTATGTCCGCTTCGGCACCGAAGGCGAAAAAGTCGAAGGCACCGGCCTCCCATCCGCCTGTTCTTGAGATGATCAAGGACGCAATCGCTTCCAGTAAGGACCGTAAGGGTGCTTCTCTTGCGGTGATCAAGAAGCATGTGACAACTCACTACAAGGTGGACATGGCACGTATTGCCCCTCATCTTCGTCGTGCTATTGTGCACGGTGTCGAGAACGGGACTCTCGTTCGTGTTGGCAACAAGGGCACTGGAGCCTCGGGAAGTTTCAAGCTGGCAAACAAATTTGCCGAGAAAAGGGTACCGAGGACTGCCAGAGCTAAGAAGGCGGTGAGTGCGAAAGTGGTGAAGAAGCGTGTGCCTTCGGGTACAGTTTCGAAGAAGGCGGAAGGAGCACCCAAAGCGAAGGTATCCGCTCCAAAAGTGGTGAAAGTTAAGAAGGCGACAGCTGGAGTGAAGGCGAAGGAGGTTGTGCCGAAGTCGCCAGCGAAGGCTGCGGGACCCAAATCACCAAAGAAGGCGGTTGGTCCGAAACAGAAGACTCCTGTGAAAAAGTCGAAGAGCATGGCTCCGAAGACAAAGAAGCAGGCTGCCAAGAAAGCTGCCAGGTCTTAAGGGTTTGCGCGTAGTGCGCGGGTATGGAGAACGTCACACGGCCCTGTTTAGGGCCAATACTGTTGATTGCTCAACTGTCGGGGTGGTGTCATGTTTGGGGGCTGGGTCCCTCAGTGGTTTTGGGTGAGGAGGGCGAGGTGAGTTGCCATAATGCGGAGGTGTCTGTGGGTGAGGCCTCGCGCTTTGTGTGTTCTGTCAGCACTTGTTTTCATCAGGTTGCTTCGTGCAGTTATCTTCGTAGACTTGTTTTTGGGTTTTGATG